TACGATGTTTTTGGTAATGTTTTGCACAAATGGAACATCACCAAAGACCTCGTTTCTGCTGTTTAGGGAATCTCATTTTTGACAAGCAGATGTTTAGTCCCAGAGATAATAATACTTTTGGAAGATGAACGTAAACATAAGCAAGCCAAAGGGACATGAATGGCAACGAATAGATGAAGATAAAGATGAATTATTCATTACAAGCTTAGTGTGCTGAACAGTAGTATTATATAGCAAAATATTTTAGTACCCATCTCCAAATATAACTAAAAGTCTAATTTGAAGTTAAGCAGTAAAATAAAGTTATTGAATCTAAGAAGCATAAGTGCCCTACACTCCTACTGACATGAGGTACCACAGGTTTGTTTCTTGGCTGGTAGGTTCACCCAAGTATACTGCAAATAGCAGCTGCCTAAAACACTTGGTATCATAACCTACCACATGATTCACAACATTAAAAGTGATATGTAGTTAATTTCTTTCTAAAGTGTCAAGATGAAATGCTGTGTATACATTGATGAGTTCTCCATTGTGGCAAGCTAATCAATAGTTCTTCGTGTAACTTACAAGTATAATCTTCCCATGAAGTAATTGCAGCAGAAAAGCTATTCCAGTCAAAGGAATGTTGCACTTTCTCATGGGAAGCTATATTGCCAAATGCTACCCCCGCCAGCCGAAAATCCCTCCGGGCAACAGATTCCAAAGAACGAATTTTCTCCTCCTGTGCTTGTGGTAGTTGTACCACCTTGCCAGCTTGTTCTTCATATAGGAAAGTCTGCGATTGAAACGCTTTCCAATAATAAAATTGGACCACCTGTTTAGCATTACCAACTTACTCAAGTTCAAGATAGGACAAATTGATGTCTCAATCCTTAAATTTCAACAAAATTGATGCCCCAATGCTTTAAATTTCTACAAAGTTTAAATGGCTTATTCATGGCTCATTGGCAGGTGAAACAAATTTTTCTATGAATTCATCAGCTATTATCCCAAGAAAAGAATAAACAATCACCAGTATAGTATGGCTAAATTTAGTTAGAAAGAGCTCAAAGAATAGGCTCATGAAAGTAGCAACAAAGTGATTAGGTTAAACTCATTAACAAGCCATACACATCAATTATCAAAATAAATACCAATAAAACACACCTATGTGAAGAACTGAGTAAATACCTGGAGTGCATGCATGATGTTGGCAAAGTTGAGGTCAAACAGTTGATCTCCCCTAGCTAACTGCAACGCTTCATTAAGCAGCTCTGAAAAATCAGAGGAATAGTCCTTTCCTCGAGAAGAATACACAGAAAATCCAATAACATGCAATCTCCCCCAGCGTATATCAAATCCCACTTCTTGATGAGAATGAGATGCTTGATTTGGTGAAAACCAGTACATACTGCTGGAAGCTGGAAAAGGAAGGCGTGAACATGGCATGTCATTTGAATCATGTAACAGGCTTTGGGATAGAAGTGAAAGAAGTTTAGCATCCTCATCGTGGGAACTATCACGGCTGAACCACAAGTTAAGTGTTAGCCTTTCTCCATCCATTACCTGTTAAAACTACAGGTTAATTAGCACCAGAAAATACACAGATAGCGAAAATAAGTCACTTTAAATCAGAAGCCAGTTGACATAAAAAATGCATGTTAGGCGCACTCACACACAAACCAAACATGAGACATTTCATCCAAAACAAAAAACACAACTTGACATCTAAAAGTTTGTGTTCTCAAATACAAGAATGGAAGAATCCTTTAACAGATTTAACAAATGAGAGTGAGGATTTCATACATACCTCATCAACACAATGAATATTGTGGCTGTCAGCTGTGTACATGACAACATCCTGATTTAAAATAACTCAGTAAGCATCAAATAATTTACTTGAAACCACATGGTAAAATGTTGCTAGCCTTGAACAGTAATCTAATGATACAAATATG